GAGCAGCACCGAAACAAACTCGCCTCGCCTCACCCTCCGTCCCGGTGCCCCATTGAGGAGGAGCCACCGCCCCGCCCCCCGCCGCGGCACGCCCCCACCGCCACTTCCGGGGGTACCACATAGGTCCCAGGGCACAAAGGCCGTCGTAGCCGTTAGTCGGTGCAAAAGGGGTCGATGCTACGGCTGCTGGGATAAGGCTGCGCCGGTACCTGTGGTGGAGCAGTGCGTGCAGAGGGAGCCCCGGCGGCTCTCCCGCGGTGCTCAGGCCTCGCTGCGAAGCCGGGACGAGAGGGTGAGGTTCGGCGGCGGGGAGAGGGAGAGGGAGAGGGGGAGAGAGAGGGAGGGAGGGAGGGAGGGAGAGAGAGAGAGACGTGGGGAGGGAAAAAGATCGCGTCGACGTCGTTTCGCGCATGCGCAAGGCTTACCGCGCGAACCGCAGGGCAGCGGCAGATAGGGACTACCACTCCCAGCGTGCCGTACGCGGGCAGCGGCGATGTTGGCGGCCGTTGGCGCGGTGAATGCTGGGGGTTGTGTTGGTGGTAGGCGGGAGTGGGGATGAGTCGCGGCGGTATAGCTGTGCTGGAGGGCGTGCTGGAGGGCGTGCTGGAGGGCGGGCTGGAGGGCGGGCTGGAGGGCGGGCTGGAGGGCGGGCTGGAGGGCGGGCTGGAGGGCGGGCTGGAGGGCGGGCTGGAGGGCGGGCTGGAGGGCGGGCTGGAGGGCGGGCTGGAGGGCGGGCTGGAGGGCGGGCTGGAGGGCGGGCTGGAGGGCGGGCTGGAGGGCGGGCTGGAGGGCGGGCTGGAGGGCGGGCTGGAGGGCGGGCTGGAGGGAGGGGCGCTTCCCGGGAGGAAATTCTCTGGGAGGAGCGCCTTGTGCGGCCGTGGCTGTGAGTCTTTACAGCTCCGCTGTCGGCCTTTAGGTCCTCGGGTCTCCTGACCTGGTGTAGCGCCGTAGTATGCGATGCCGGGGTGTGTGCGAAGGGGCGGCGGGGGTAAGGGCGCTGTTCTAACGCGCTTTGCAGCGCCTCTTGGGCGGCGGTGTGCAATGCAGGTCCCGTCTTGACCTGGCTTTGCCCGTGTGGTCCGGTGTGCCAGCGGCTTGTTAGGCGCTGTGACGGTGGAGGTACCTCAGGAGTGGGGGTACTGTGAAATGGAGGGGGCTCTGTAAGGTATGGGTTAGTGTCCCAGAAGCTATGGAGGGGTGTGCGTTGAGTGTGACTGTCATACAATCGTTTGGGTTGGGAGGGACCTTCAAATGTCATCTAGTTCTGACCCTCTCCAATGAGTAGGGACATCTTCAACTAGATCTGGTTGCCCAGGGCCACATCCAGCCTGGCCTTGCATGTCTCCAGGAATGGCACATCCAGCACCTTCTCTGGGCAACCAGTGCCAGTGTTTTACCACTTTTATCGTAAACAGTTTTTTCCTTGCGTCCAGTCCAAGTCTTTTACTTTAAAACCATCACCTCTCATCCTGTCGCAACAGACCTGCTAAAAAGTCCTTCCCCATCATTCTTACAGGCGCCTTTTAAGACCTGAAAGGCTGCAATAAGATCTTCCCAGAGTCTTCTCTTCTCCAGGCTGAACATACCCAACCCTCTCAGCCTTGCCTTGTAGCAGAGGTGTTCCGTCCCTCTGACTATTTTTGTGGTCCTCCTCTGGACCTCTGTTTACAGGTTCCTGCTAGCACTTTGGTTAGGAAAGATGTATTTGAGGCTGCTTGGGGAATTCCTGTCTCTGCTAGGAATTACAAATAGAGGTAGGGGAGATACTCAAAAGCTGGATTAAAAAAAACCACCAAAACCAGCTGGGATTGTGATGAGCGAAGGCTTAAAAAAGCAAAATAGTAAAATGGCTAGCAAGTGTAACTGTTTTGGCTAAGACAAACCAAAGATCCCTGGTTACATGGAAGGTTAGTTATCTTTGCCAGATACTTTTCCTTGTAAAGCAGTATATTCTTTTCCAGCTTCAAAGGAATTAAGGATCAGTTGCTACTTGTGAAAGTGTTTGATTTTTATGTACTACCAGATTATGAGTTATCTGAGTTCTAAATAACAGAATGTTATTTTCAGTTCAGGTTTTTTAAGATTAGGCTAAACAAAGTATATTGGGTGTTGGACGAGGGAGATAGGGGTAAACAAGTAGGGACATAAGAAACTAAATACCCAGGAGGGAAGCTCATTTGATGCTGTCCTTCAGACAGCAGTCCAGCAGATTATTGATGCACTCTGCTGGATCAGGATCCTGCTAAATACATTAAATGTGTACTATATGGATACTATGTAAGTATTATTTCTTTGCTGGCTTATGAGTGCTATTTCAGACTTACATAGTAGAAACTGCCGTTGCAGGAATGAGCATAGAATTTCTGTTTAGCTGATGTATAAGCAGTGGTTTTGCTCAGGTGTATCTTACTGCTGTGCAAATTTGCTTTTTTAGAATCTAGAACCATGTACTATGTGGGGATTATTCACTGTTTGTGACAAGCATTCGACGAGCAAAAAGTACTGAAAGAATAAAGATTGTCCTGGAACATCTTTTCTTGCCATGTGTGAACATCTCTTTCAAGCCAAAATGGTCCCTCCTCCCAGTGGTTAGGTGATAAATCATACCTGGCTAGTTTTGACTTCTAGCCATGCTTGAGTAGCTGCAGCACAGCCTTCAGGATGTGATAAACACATAAATGTATCGGCTTTTGCGAATCATAGATGTTGCTATGTGGACATAACTGTGTGAGTTCACAATAACAGAAACAAAGCTCTCTAAGGACAGAAGATTAGACAACAAGTTGAAAATGGCCAGAACTCTTGAGCAAAATGGAGTCACATAGCAAAAGAATTTGTAAAGGTAAAAGAAAAGGGGGAGGGGGGGCTTGATATGGGGTAAGCTAGTGCCTGGAAAGCATAGGGTTAAAGTACTTTTAGCTTAATTTAGGTCAAAGATAAAGAACAATGTTTGTGATGTAAGTCTGTGGTGAGACAACAGGATTTAGTGGCCCCACTAAACATGAATGAATTATTTCACACCATCCTCCTACTTATCAGTTAGTTTGGAGACAGTGCCCCCTGAACATCTGCTAGCTTTGGATACTCCTTGTCTGCCTGTCCTGTTTTGCTTGCAATACGTTTTCATGAAGGTCACACTGTTCTAAATCTTTGCCAGCGATCAGAAACTTACATATATGGCTGGTTTCAGCTAATTTTGTGATTACTGGGGCATCCAACTGTGCCAAAGGTGAAAAGTACACTGTGAGGAAGACTGCTTACTTCATCCTGAAGACCCCTGCCTGCATGAGGAAGACTGCTTACTTCATCCTCAAGACCCCGGGCCACAATCACGGGAGAGCAGTGTGCAGTATGCCAAGAGGAGGAGACTTATGATCTTGGAGCTAGTTATAATATTCTCTGCCTATATGTGGGAATTACGAAATATTGCAATTAATGCAATAGTGAAAGTATATAAACCTGTAACAAAAGCTAATCAGTGCACCTCTCGCTACGCGCCAGTGCTGTTGCTTTTGCTTTATTGACTTTGTCCCTCAGTAAAACACTGTTATCTTGATTAGAGGAGTGAGCTTGTATTTCACAAGGAGGGCCCAGATTATAGCTTGGATGCACGCCCCTGGCAGATTAGATATTTTGACTGCTCTTCACCAGCACTGTTTAACTGTCAGAAACACTAGTTATTCAACTTCTCTGAAACAACAAAACCACGAATTTTACCCTGGCAGCCTCACCCTCCGTTCTGCTGTTACCCAGTTTACCATCTCGGTGGATTGCTTTGGCTTGTGCTATCAGATGTCAATTTTCAAGGAACTGATGTGCAAGCCAGGATCACTAGAAACATTACTATGTTCTGGCTCCACACCTTCCTTGTTCTGAGACACTCTTTCCTTGCAGGCAGGGTTGTAGTGGTGAAGTTTGTGCTAGATCTCTCAGGCATGAGAATTTTATTGTAAACACTAGTGTTGTATGACAGGAGAATTGGCTGGTCTTGAAAGCCAGCTCTATGGTTTGCAACATGAAGTATATTCAGTGGGGCAGAGGTCTTGCCACTGAATGTGAAGTTTCTGGCATGCATTTGAATTGACATACAGCAATGTTTAGCCCAGCTGTATATGTAGAATATAATATTCTATAAATAACATACCACATTTTAATTCCTGTGAGGAATAGAAATAAAATGGAAATAAAATAATAAAAAAATAAAATGGAATAAATAGAAATAAATAAAAGCAGGCATAATCATTCTTTAGAGCTCTTTACTTCCTTTTCACCCCCAAGTATAGTGAAGGTAGGTGAGAATCTCTAAATTGAAAAATAAACATCCTGACTTACACATTTAGTTTTCAAAGAACATCACTATATGAGATAACATAGATTCTGGAGTGACTGGATACTGTCACTTCCCAGTAATTATATGCCACTTAGCAGATGTAGCAGATGAACTGACTACTCCTTTTAGCAGGTGCTGTGTTGTCACACTGTCTAGTCCTGGGTCACTGGCAGGGTGGGCAAGAAATTTACCTAATGCTATGGATAACCAGCATTTACTAAGAAATGATGACGTGGTAGACCCCAAGCCTGATCCTGCTCTTGCAGCATCGGTTAGAGAAGGATCAAACTGCCATTCCATGTACATCTTTGTTGCTGCTACAGTAGATTTGGGGAAAAAAACCCAACCAACCAACAAAATCCTGAAATATTGTAGAGCCTGCATGAATAATTCTGCCTGTGAATATTTCTGCCAGTCATTAATTGCTGATTATTCTGATGGTGTCCTTGCCAGACCCAAGCATTTCCAGTACTAATGATGCATTTTACTAATGACATTTCATTTTAATATGATCAGGGAAGTCAGCCTGCATCAGGGAATGAATTGTTACCTTACATGCAGGGTCTGGTTTCAGACTTTAACTGTCAAATGAATTAATGAACAATATAAATTTGTCAGTTTCTGTCTGGGAGGTTGTTTCCCACCATTTGTTTATGTGTTGATTTGGGTTTTTTTTCCAACTAGGGTAGATTTTTGGACATGCTTAATTTCCAGCACGCCTCCTTTTGAGAGCTATCCAGATTTTTCTCTCTAGTCCCATTTCCTGCCCCATAAATAAAAGTGGAAGTCCCCATTGTTTGGAAGTTTTAAAATGTAAGTTGACAAAACCAGCTTTGCATAGAACAAAATTAGTGTGTCAAGCAGTGTCCTGTATTGGTTAGGTTGATAGCATGGAGATACTGCGAGCAGTGCAGGGGATGGTGTAACATCCCCTCAGACGTTATCTTATCAAGACACCTCTGAACTACAAGGAAACCAGTAAAAACTGAAGATGTGCTCCTCTGGCAGTTGCTCCATGTAACAGATAACGTGTATTTTGTTCAGGTTCTCAATGGTCCGTAGTGGGAAGAGTGGTGGGCTCCACCTGAAGCAGATTGCCTACTACAAGCGAACAGGAGAGTATCATCCCACAACATTGTCAAGTGAAAGAAGTGGAATCAGGAGAGCAGCCAAAAAATTTGTTTTCAAAGGTAAAAGCATTCTTTCAGACTACTTGGAAAATAGGTTTTTAGGTGGAGATTTGCTGATACGAGAAAAGAAAGAAAGCAGTATCTTGCTTTGCAGCATACTGTGGTTTTAATACAGAACTCTGCTCAATCCTAGTTAATATGTAACAGGATGTTTACAGAAACAGAAGCTTAATCTGCTTTAGTCATTTCCAGGTGGGATTTATTTATCTAGCTAAAAGCCAAACCTTGTTCTAGATACTGCGGAAGTACGTAGCTATTGTAATCCATAATGCAAAGGACTACAGAAAGGGAAATCCAGATCTGCAATGTTTGGTCTGGTCTGGAGGGTGCTCTGGCTGGGCAAGGATGTGCAAGGATGACTTTGCCATCTGTCATTTTAGAGCCTCCTGGCCCTTCCCAGCTTTATTCTTCCATGCAAAGAGGTATATGAACCTCTGTAGTCTGCTGTGCTCTTTTCAGTCCCATCAAACCTGACAAGGCTATGTATATAGAAAGCAGGGAGGAGTTAGAGTTGTGAATTGCAGTGTCAGATTGCTGGCAGGCAGACTCTAAACCCGATAACAAGTCCTATCTCTCCTTCCCACCCCTGGCACTAGCTTGTGTTTCAGTCAGGCTTCCTGTGGGAGCATTGTTTGCATTCTGACTTGCCCTCTTAGTGCCTTCTGTCCAGGCTAATAAATAAACAGAGGTGAGGCTTTTTGAAGGAAATAATTAAAAGTATTTATAAACAAATAGCTACATTCACACAGAAGTGAATTGAAGTTGATTTAATAAATTCTATACCTAATCATCCCCAGTAGTTCAGTAAACCAAACAAAAGACAAAGCACTTGCATATAATTTGCTGGTACTTTTCTTCTTTCAGGAAATAAATTGTACTATGTTGGAAAAGACAGAAACCAAATGCGACTGGTCATTATTTCAGATGAAGAGAAGAAAAAGGTGCTTGAAAAGTGCCATGAAAATGCTGCTGGCACTCATCATGGCATATCAAGGACACTAACTTTAGTGGAATCTAATTACTACTGGACCTCTGTAACAAATGACGTCAAGCAGTGGGTATGGTCTCATAGCTACAGAATATTTTTTAAATCTAGTCTGTTAGGGATGTTTTGTAACCCTGTGACTTGCATACAGCAAGCACCTATACTGCTTCATGATGAGGAAATGTAAGCTTACAATCAGACTGTAAAATGGTCTTGGCAGAGCACAGTGTTTCCTTTCTCTTTTTTTCTCTTACTACTGACCATGTAGCTTGCATATTGCTGTATGTTACCCAGTGGTGAGGAGCCGTCCTGCCTTTAAGTATGCAGAGCATATGTGGTCCTTGAGAAGAATTCTTCTTGCAGGTACTGTTACACATCTTTGTTGGGATGCAGTGTATCATCCTAAGGATATGTGCCCAGAGTGCCTGCTGGCACATAAGAATATGAAAATTTGTTCAGGACACAGTTAAACAAATCACTGCTTGGGAAAGTTCATTCTTCTCCCAAAGATACATGAACATGAGCCCCAGGCAGAATGTGATCCTTGTGGAAACTGTATGTAAATGTCCTTTACAGCCAAATTACTATTGCTGTCAGCTTGCTGCATCACCTGAATGCTTTGTGGTTCATTCACAACTGTAACATGAACTGAAATGAGTCTTTGCTTTCGATTCAGACTTGGGCAAAGGGGCTCTGTTCTGTAAGTAAAGCTGATCCATGTTATGCAGGGAAGATTGTGTATACTGCCAATGTTTTTCAGTCACGGCATACACAGTAGTACCAAAAGGGGAATGACTGGGACTTTGTTTTGATCCCAGCTGCTTGATACTTTCTTTAGTATTTACACATAGTAATGGATATTAAAATTTATACTGTGGCCTTGAAAGGGCACAGTGCTTTCAGGAAGGAGACGGTTCAGCTGTTTATTCCTGTATATGCCCTTTTCCCAGCCTTCGCTGTTGCTTGGCTTGGGTTTTATGCTGGGCCTGAAAAATCTAAGGGTAAAAAATAAGAAAAATGTTAAAATTAATTTGTTTCACATTGCCTGGTCTGACCCAACGTGCAGAGATTTATGGTCCTACTGATGATTGTCTTAAACCTTAACCATCACTTTTTATTGATAGCTTCTTCCCTGTTTTTTGCATCAGGTGTATGCTTGCCAGTATTGCCAAGCGGCAAAGAATACAGCCACCACAGCACCCAAAACACACCCTATCAAAGCGGAAGATCCATGGACAGCAGTCACTATAGACCTAATGGGACCTTTCAGTGTTACCAACAGAAGCCACAAGTACGTCATAATTATGACAGATTTGTTTACAAGATGGACTGTTATCTTGCCACTGCATGACATTTCAGCAGCTGAAGTTGCTAAGGCAATCACAAATGTGTTTTTCTTATATGGGCCACCTCAAAAAATGCCAATTGATCAAGGGAAGGAGCTTGTTCATGAGGTAATTATTTACGTGGCTGGTTTCTCCCTCTCTCTTTTTTCTTTTTTTTTTCCTTTCTTCCAAAAAACCCATATATTTTCCCCGGTAGTAAATTTGTAGTAAATCCACGTTATTCTTGAAAAAGACTGTAAATATTTTTTCTTCAATTAAAAAAAAAAAAAAAAGGGAAAATGTTAGTACATATAGAAAATGACGAACCAATTATTTGCTATTGTAACATTATGCAGTGTTTCCCAGGAATTTATTCTTTGAATGAAGAACAAAGCAAAATGATTGATTTTCTGGTAGAAGTAATGCAGATTTTGTCACTCAGTTGAACTGGCACAAGCTTCCACACTCCAACATGCTGTATTTAACAAGCATATTTAACATCCATATTGTCTGGTATAGAAGATAGCTAGGGGCATTTTTGACAGTGGCCTATAGTGATTATGATGAACTTTTCATACTTCTGTCCACTCACAAATGATGAATATGAGACTGCGATACAGAGGAAATGACAGATTGAGTTAGTAGTAGAAATGTGGTTAGAAACAATCAATTACTGTCTCCTAACCCATACTGATTGCTTTAGCTCTTACTTTTGACCCTGGACTGTTTGGTGGGAATATGTCTAAGACTTTAGCTCAGTCACCATCACATCAACAAAAGGGATGGAAGACTGAGTTTGTTTACTTAAACTGTGGTACAGGAGAGGGAAACCTTCAGTAATCATGTTCTTCTTCTTTTGAAGATAAATGAAGAACTGTTTGCACTGTTTGGAATGAAACAAATTGTGTTGTCTTATCCTCAGACAGATCACGTAAATGCAAGAACATGCAAAACAATCAAAGTTTTCCTTAACAAATACTGTATCAACCATCCAAATGATTGGGATGAGCATTTGTCTGCTATTGCCTATGCTTTCAATTTGACAGATTTGGTATGTCGATGTTCTTCTTCTTTTGACTGAAGTCCCCCAAAATATCTGCAAAGCTCTATGCTAAGTTTGCTTGCTTTCTGCTCCCCATTTAAATAGGAGACAGGTCAAACCACCCCATATATCCAAATGTTTAATCGTAACCCACACGTTGCTGAGCCAAGGAATATATGTATGGAAGGAGAATACAGTGTGCTTGCCAAAATATTTGAAGCAACTAAAACAGCCAGTCAAGCTCTAGAAGAAGAGAAAACCTCAGATTGCCAGGTAAATGTGTTTACTAATAAGAAGCCAGAAGGTAAAAGATAAAAATCTTGAAATATAATTAACCTTTAAAAGCAGCGTGGGGGGTTGCATGCTTTTTGGTGTTTCAGTTTTGTGGGCTTTCCCTTCCCTTCCCTTCCCTTCCCTTCCCTTCCCTTCCCTTCCCTTCCCTTCCCTTCCCTTCCCTTCCCTTCCCTTCCCTTCCCTTCCCTTCCCTTCCCTTCCCTTCCCTTTCTTTTCGGTTCAGTTTTTTTTTGGTTTTTTGTTTGTTTTGTGTTGTGTTTTTTTTTTTTCTTATGATTTCTACATTCCAGTGTAACAATTCCCATATGTATTAGGAGGGAGTAACCTTAGACCTATTACCAAGAGATTCCTATCTGACTTGGTGGGCTGTGTATCTAAGAAACTGAAACCCATTACCTGTGGGCTGTTGATTTATAAAGATGAATTCAATTTCTTCAGAATTCTTCAACCCCGCATATTGGGTTACACACATCCAATCCACTTAGTGTACTGCTTCCGCATTATTAGCTAGTTCTATGAAAACTCATTATTAGTTTTGGAAAAAAGAAAATGTGATTCATATATATTTTTCTGCAGGTGGAGAAAAACACTTCAGATGAACAGAAAATCAGTAACAAAATCACTGTCAAAAGGAAGCCAAAGCAGTTAAATACCACGCTACTTAAAGTTGGTCATGAAGTCCTCAGGCAAAGAAAAAACCGGTGGAAAGATGGTCATTTCCAGTCGGAATGGGTTGGTCCTTTCATTATAGATTATATCACAGATAATGGCCATGCAATATTAAGAGATGACACAGGATCCAGGTTGAAAAGACCCATCAAGATGTCTCACCTCAAGCCATACATAAGAGAGTCCAGTGAAAAAGGTATGTGTATGTGTGTGTGCGTATTTCATATATATGGAGAGATTTAACATTTTGATGTTGTTTTGGGTTTCGTTTGTTTAGGGTTTTTTAACTTTTCTGTCATGTCAGTTTTTAGAAAACACAAGCTTCTTTTTGATTCAGGATCCTTGAAAAGGAAACGAAGTTCCACTCTAATTGGCATGTGCAGTTAAGCTTTGGTTATTGAAAATGCATATAAACTGCATTGAGATAGTAATTTCTTCCATCACCCTTTAAAGCTGAGGGACTTGCAAAGCTGAGACTAATCCTGGAATTTCATGTGAGAAGGTGATACTTATGCCAGTCATCAATTACAGATTTCATAACCAAGATACTGTTTTCATGTTGTGTCTTGAGGACACTATTTTTACTGTTGGACAGTCACTCTGGCTTCCAGTTCCTCATTGAACTACTGATCCATAAGGAGGAAGCCATATACATGTCAAGCCTGCAGATAATCTCCAGCTGTTACAATGGCTTTAGTAAATTGTGTCATAGTGTAAAAAGTTAACTGTAGTTGCCTTTGTAGGATGACAGCATAGTATGTTTACCAGTAGCAAAGCAGTATGTAAACATAGAGTCTCTTTCCTTTCCCAGGAAGTGACTAAAGATCAGTTATCTGATACCGGCAAAAACTTCAATGATGAATGGTTATGAATACTTACAAATCTTAAAATTATAGACTGATATTCATATATATTTTCATTGTGTAGAGAGGCAAACCAGGTTTTTCCAAAATAATAGGTGTTTTTTATCAAACAGCCTAATAGCAATCAAGGATCAAGAGTATTATTTCAGGTGGATAAGAACAGTGAAACTGGGCAGTGAATGGCATAGTGAATTTCATCTGTTTTCATCCATAAAGAAACACATGTATCTTTGTAACAAAAGACTCCTCTTTATTAGCAGGGGTCTACTTTTTTGTTATCTGCAGCTGCTATGGTATAAGTCTGGTGGCAGATACATTTAATCATAACCCACGCATTGCTGAGTCAATGAATATACGTGTGGAAGGAGAATATAGTATGTTTGCTATGGTGTAAGTCTGGTGGCATAACCTTGGATGACAGCAAAGCATTTGTAACAGTCTCTGAAATCAAAGTGCAGAAAGTACGTCTTGGGTGAGGGTATTTGTGTCCTTGCCTCATAACTTTGTAAGTGCTACTAAAGTGTTTTGTTTACTTTGCACCTCACCAAATGAACATCCTGCTGATCCACCTGTAAAGAGGATCACTACTTGTGCCCCCAGGAAGAAGCAGCGGGTCATAGTAGTAGGTGACTATTTTGAAAGGCACAGAGGCACCATCTGTCAGCCTGACCCAGTCTTGAGGGATGTGTGTTGCCTACTGGGGCCTTGGATCGGGATGTTGCTGAGAGGCTACCTGGTCTAGTAAGTCCCATGGACTGTTACCCACTTCTAGTGGTCCGTGTAGGTGCCATCAGAAGCCTGGAAAGCATTAAGGACTACAAAGCTCTGGGAGAGATGATTAGGGGCTCTGGGGCTCAGACAGTTTTTTCATTGATCCTCCAGGTCAAAGAGGAGGACCTTGAAAAGTCCAGGCGGATTTGGCAGGTTAATAAACGGTTAGAACAGTGGTGCCATAATCAGGAGTTTGGTTATTTAGAACACGGGACTCAATTTGGGAGGCCAGGTCTACTGGAGGCTGATGGAGCTGCTTTGGTAGGAGGCTTGCCAGGCTAGTCAAGGCAGCTTTGAACTAGGTGTATTGGAGAGGGGAGCATCATTCCATCCCAGTACTCCCAGTCAGTCGCCAGCACCTGTAATAAATGCTTGGAGCGATGCAGAGAGATTGCAGCCACTCCAGCCAATGAGCCGGCTTCATTTGGAGCTCAGCTCAGATGCATCTGTACAAACACCCTTAGTATGGGAAATAAATACAAGGAATAAGAGGCATGTGCACGGCTACAAGGATATATCATTGGCATCACAAAAACATGGTGGGATGGCTCCTATGACTGCAATGTCAGAATGCAAGGTTACATGCTCTTTAGAAAAGACAGGCCTGGCAGACGAGGAGGGGGAGTTGCCTTTTATGTTAGGGATAGGCTGGAGAGTATGGAACTCTATCTGAAGATGGGTGATGAACCAACAGAGAGTTTGTGGGTCAAAGCGAGAACAGTGATGGGAGACATTAGTGTGGGGATCTGTTACAGGCCAACTGATCAGGAGGATTCTTGTGAATGAAGCGCTCTATAGACACGTAGGAGCAGCCTCACGTTCGCAGGCCCTTGTTCTCATGGGGTACTTCAACCACCCTGATATCTGTTGGAAGGAGAGTACGGCCCGGCACAAGCAATCCAGGAGGTTCCTCAATTGTGTAGAAGACAACTTCCTTCTGCAAGTAATAGAGGAGCCGACAAGGAGAGGTGCCATGCTTGACCTCATGCTCACCAGCAGGGAGGGGCTGGTTGGAAATGTGATGCTCCAGAGCAGCCTTGGATGCAGCGATTATGAGATGGTTGAGTTCGAGATCCTCAGGACAGTGAGAAAAACGTGCAGCAAGCTCACTGCCCTGGACTTCAAGAGAGCAGACTTTGGCCTCTTCAGGAACCTGCTCAGTAAGGTTCCATGGGATAAAGCCCTAGAGGGTAGGGGGCCCAAGACTGTTGGTTGATACTCAAAGATCACCTGCTACAAGCTCAGGAGTGTTGCATCCCAACTAGAAGGAAGTGCAGCAGGAGGGCCAGGTGACCTCTGTGTATGGATAAGGAGCTGCTGAGGAAACTTTGAGGGAAAAAAGAGGATTATAAAAGGTGGAAGCAAGGACTGGCGGTCTGGGAAGAATACAGGGATGTTGTCTGGAAAGCTAGGGACCAGGTTAGGAAAGGTAAGGCCCAGTTAGAATTGGGGCTGGCCAGGGATGTCAAGGGTAACAGGAGGGGCTTCTATAGGTATGTCACAAGTAAAAGACAGACTGGGGATAATGTAGGCCCCCTCAGGAAGCTCTTGGGAGAACTGGCTACACAGGATTTGGAGAAGGCTGGGGTTCTGAATGACTTCTTTGCCTCAGTTTTCGCTGCCAAATGCTCTAACCACACCATCCAAGTCTTGGAAGGCAGATGCAGGGACTGTGAGAATGAAGACCCTAGGCCTACTGTAGGAGAGGATCTGGTTCAAGAGCATCTTAAGAACCTGAACATGCACAAGTCCATGCGACCTGAATGAATTCCATCTGTGGGTCCTGAAGGAGCTGGCAAATGAAGTTGCTAAGCCACTGTCCATCATATTTGAAAAATCATGGCAGTCAGGTGAAGTTTCCAGTGTCTGGAAAAAGGGAACTATAACCCCCATTTTCAAGAAGGGGAAAATGGATGACCCAGGGAATTACAGACCAGTCAGTCTCACCTCTGTGCCTGGCAAAATCTTGGAGCAGATTCTCCTGGAAGGCATGCTAAGGCACATGAAAAACAGCAAAGTGCTTGGTGACAGCCAGCATGGCTTCACTAAGGGGAAATCCTGCCTGGAAAGCCAACCATGTCCTAAGCTTCATCAGAAGAAGTGTGACCAGCAGGTCGAAGGAGGTGATTCTGCCCCTCTGATCATGTGAGACCTCACCTGGAGTATTGTGTGCAGTTCTGGTGTCCTCAACATAAAAAGGACATGGAACTGTTGGAACAAGTCCAGAGGAGGGCCACGAGGATGATCAGGGGACTGGAGCACCTCCTGTATGAAGATAGGCTGGGAAAGTTGGGGCTGTTCAGCCTGGAGAAGAGAAGGCTGCGTGGAGACCTCATAGCAGCCTTCCAGTACCTGAAGGGGGCCTACAAGGATGCTGGAGAGGGACTCTTCATTAGGGACTGTAGTGATAGGACAAGGGGTAACAGGTTAAAACTTAAACAGAGGAAGTTTAGATGTAAGGAAGATGTTCTTATACTGTAAGGGTGGTGAGGCACTGGAATGGGTTGCTCAAAGAAGTTGTGAATGCTCCATCCCTGGTGGTGTTCAAGGCAAAGTTGGACAGAGCCTTGGGCAACATGGTCTAGTGAGAGGCACTGCCACCCATGTCAGGGGGGTTGGAACCAGCTGATCTTAAGGTCCCTTCCAAGCCTAACTATTCTATGATTCTATGTAAGCAAGATAGGCCCCAACCTCGTCTTCCAAAACTGAAGTATTAATGCCATTTTGACGGTTGCACTTCTAATTTGTCTGGTTAGACTGTTTTCATTTTATTTGAACTCATTTGGAAAAGTCAAACACTGTAACCATATTGAATAAAGAAAAGCTCAATAGTACTGTTACAATAGCAGTTGCCGTTATTACCTTTAAATTCTGTAAATCTTTTAATTCTGTTTTTACTGCTTAGAAAAGCTTTTTTGTGCTGCATTAAGATTTCCCAGCAAGATCTTGGAGTAGCCATGTTTCTCTCTGTAGGTGAAATGAAACAATCTGCATGTCCATTTATTTAACGTATTAGTTTGATAGGTAATTATGACAGATGTCAAGCTAGTCACTAACCTAGCAAAGAAAAACTCTAAAAAAACTCTGAAAACATTGCAAGCATTGTTTTGTGGATGTAATGAGATGCAGCCAAACATTTGGTGCTCAGTGAAATTAGAAAATACACTGCTAACACTCAAACATTCTTGTCTTTTTACAGACATTGTTTTAAAAAGTAAGTTTCCACCTGACTATCATTTTAAATATGGCTTGAAGGATCTGATTTGATGGCTGCTTTTCTTTTACAGACAACCATTACTTTTTACAAGGCGCAGTAGTTGTTGACCATGACTATATTGGCTTATCTGAAAAATCCTATAATCCAAGGCAACAAGACTCATTTGCAGAAGGAGATGTGATGTCTGCTGTACAAATGCTGCCTGCAGCCTGCAAAGACCAGGAGCCAACAGATGGTAAACATCAGTCTGAGCTGACAGAAGATCATTACATTGAATCAAACACTACAAAGACAGAAAAATGGCCTTCACCTTGTTTGACACTTCAGACCAAGATAGAGGATACTTAAGCATGGTCTTAAGTTACCTGTCATTGACAAACAGTTTGAAACTTGTGGCAGACTGGAAAAAAAATTCTTAGCCAAATCCACTTTCCTACTTTATGGATATTGAAGTATATCCATATAGAAGATACAGAAGTACTGCAGCTACCCACTGGCTAATTTGTATGGGTGTTAAGAAGGGATTGCTCTGTTAACAGAAACAAAGACGCATGTAAAAGAACATGTTCAGCTACTGTATCAATTTAAGAGCACTGTATGTATCCAGTAGTTAATTTATGTGGGTGTTGAAAAGCATTCAGTGACCAAAAAGCACAAGCACAGCCTAGTAAAAGCACATGTTGTCATCATGTATTTGAATTTCAGGTACAGTTGGTAGAAGAGCTGTTTGGCTGTACCTGACTGTTATCCTCACAATGCATCATTTTACTGTAATAACCTTTTCATTAATCCTTAGATAACTCATTTCTAATGTCATCTAAGGATTAATGAAATGTGTGTTGAAGATACTGTGGGGTGAATATAATCTAAGCAACTTGATGTAAATTTTACCTCCAGTGTAGGGAAGCTGGTGTCCTCCTTTTCCTGTTATAAAGAGAAACTGGTTTATGCTGAGAAGCTGCAAATATTGATTTCTGCAGCTTTTAGTTTGTAGTCTAACCCACAGCTCTAAGATTTCACGAAATACCAGAGCTGCCAAAATCAAGTCATGTAGTGTTCTGCACGTGAAAATGTGTGTCCCTTCAGCTGCTCCCACTTATCAAAATTCTGCTAGGGTAAGCAGTTTGAATTTCTCAAAATCTTAAGTGTATTTAGCATTAATTTCTGCTTTTTTCCCTCCAAACATCTGCTTTTTTTTTTGGCTACATCTTCCCATAGCCACTACAGGTTTGGAGACTTACACTGACAGTGGTCAAGGGAATGGTGAAGCACTGGTGTTACTTATTCTCTGAACTCCTTGAGTAAATTGTTAAGGGTCTGGACTTCCTGCTGAAGAAGATGGTATTTCAGCTGAACAAGAATTATTTCATGTGGAAAACTGATGAGTGCAAGTCAGTTCTTTTTATAGAGGACTGACACAAAAGAAGATAGCTAGCAGAAAACTGAATTTAGAAATTCACCAACTTCTATCTGATACTCATAGAATCATAGAATCAGAATAGTTAGGGTTGGAAAGGACCTTAAGATCATCTAGTTCCAACCCCCCTGCCGTGGGCAGGGACACCTTACACTAAACCATATCACCCAAGGCCTCGTCCAACCTGGTCTTGAACACTGCCAGGGATGGAGCATTCACAACTTCCCTGGGCAACCCATTCCAGTGCCTCACCACCCTAACAGGAAAGAATTTCCTTCTTATATCCAATCTAAACTTCCCCTGTTTAACCCGTTACCCCTTGTCCTATCACTACAGTCCCTAATGAAGAGTCCCTCTCCAGCATCCTTGTAGGCCCCCTTCAGGTACTGGAAGGCTGCTATGAGGTCTCCATGCAGCCTTCTCTTCTCCAGGCTGAACAGCCCCAACTTCCTCAGCCTGTCTTTATACAGGAGGTGCTCCAGTCCCCTGTTCATCCTCGTGGCCCTTCTCTGGACTTGTTCCAACAGTTCCATGTCCTTTTTTATGTTGAGGACACCAGAACTGCACACAATACTCCAGGTGAGGTCTCACATGATCAGAGGGGCAGAATCACCTCCTTCGACCTGCTGGTCACACTAATTCTGATGAAGCTTAGGACATGGTTGGCTTTCTGGGCTGCAAGCACACACTGCCGGCCCATGTTCATTTTCTCATCAACCAACACCCCCAAGTCCATCTCCGCAGGGCTGCTCTGAATTTCTTCTCTGCCCAACCTGTAGCTGTGCCTGGGATTGCTCCGACCCAGGTGTAGGACCTTGCACTTGGCATGGTTAAACTTCATGAGGTTGGCATCAGCCCACCTCACAAGCATGTCAAGGTCCCTCTGGATGGCATTCCTTCCCTCCAGCATATCAACCGAACCACACAGCTTGGTGTCATCGGCAAACTTGCTGAGGGCGCACTCAATTGCACTGTCCATGTCAGCGACGAGGATGTTAAAAAAGATCGGTCCCAACACCAACCCCTGAGGGATGCCACTCGTTACTGGTCTCCAGCTGGACATTGAGCCATTGACCACAACTCTTTGTGTGCGGCCATCCAGCCAGTTCTTTATCCACTGAGTGGTCCATCCATCAAATTGATGTCTCTCCAATTTAGAGACAAGGATGTTGTGTGGAACAGTGTCGAATGCTTTACACAAGTCCAGGTAGATGACATCAACTGCTCTACCCCTGTCTATCAGTTCTGTAGCCCCATAATAGAATGCCACCAAGTTGGTCAGGCAGGATTTCCCTTAGTGAAGCCATGCTGGCTGTCACCAAGCACTTTGCTGTTTTTCATGTGCCTTAGCATGCCTTCCAGGAGAATCTGCTCCAAGATTTTGCCAGGCACAGAGGTGAGACTGACTGGTCTGTAATTCCCCAGGTCATCCATTTTTCCCTTCTTGAAAATGGGGGTTATATTTCCCTTTTTCCAGTCATTTGGAACTTCACCTGACTGCCATGATTTCTCAAATATGATGGCCAGCGGCTTCGCAATTTCGTTCACCAGCTCCTTCAGGACCCACGGATGGATCTCCTCAGGACCCATGGACTTGTGCACATTCAGATTTTTAAGATGGTCTCGAACCAGTTCCTCTCCTACAGTGGGCACAAGGTCTTCATTCTCACAGTCCCTGCATCTGCCTTCCAAGACTTGGGTGGTGCAGTCAGAGCCTTTGCCAGTGAAGATCGAGGCAAAGAAGTCATTCAGAACCTCAGCCTTTTCCAAATCCTGTGTAGCCAGTTCTCCTGAGAGCTTCCTGAGGGGGCCTACATTCTCCCTAGTCTGTTTTTTATTTGCTATGTACCTGTAGAATCCCTTCCTGTTATCTTTAATACCTCTAGCTAAGTTTAATTCTAACTGGGCCTTAGCTTTCCTAACCTGGTCCCTAGCTTCCCAGACAACATCCCTGTACTCTTCCCATGCCACCTGTCCTTGCTTCCACTTATTATAATCCTCTTTTTTCATTTGAATTTTCCTCAGGAGCTCCTTATCCATCCAAGGAGGTCTCCTGGCCCTCCTGCTGCACTTCCTTCTGGTTGGGATGCAGTACTCCTGAGCTTGTAGCAGGTGATCCGTGAATATCAACCAACAGTCTTGGGCCCCCCTACCCTCTAGGGCTGCATCTCATGGAACCTTCCTAAGCAGGTTCCTGAAGAGGCCAAAGTCTGCTCTTTTGAAGTCCAGAGCAGTGAGCTTGCTGTACGTTCTTCTCACTGTCCTGAGGATCTCAAATTCGAGCATCTCATGAACGTTGCATCCAAGGCTGCCCTGGAGAGTCACATTTCCAACCAGCCCTTCCCTGTTGGTGAGCACGTGGTCAAGCATGGCACCTCTCCTTGTCAGCTCCTCTATTACTTGCAGAAGGAATTTGTCTTCTACACAATTGAGGAACCTCCTGGATTGCTTGTGCCGGGCCGTACTCTCCTTCCAACAGATGTCAGGGTGGTTGAAGTCACCCATGAGAACAAGGGCCTGTGAGCGTGAGGCTTTTCCTATCTGTCTGTGGAGTGCTTCATCCACAGGTTCTCCTTGATCAGGTGGTCTGTAACAGATCCCAACAGTAATGGCTCCCATAGCTACATTCCCTTTAACCCTGATCCACAAACTCTCTGTGGACTGCTCACCTGTCCCCAGACAGAGTTCCATACTTTCCAGCCTATCGCTAACATAAAGGGCAACTCCCCCTCCCCGCCTGCCAGGCCTGTCCTTCCTAAAGAGCCTGTAACCTTCCATTCCAACACTCCAGTCATAGGAGCCATTCCACCATGTTTCTGTGATGCCTATTATATCATACTCCCGTAGATGTGCACACATCTCTAATTCCTCATTTGTTCCCCGTGCTACGGGCATTTGTATAGAGGCATCTGAGCCGAGCTCCAACTGAAGCCAGCTCATTGCCTGGAGCGGCTGGGATATCTCTACATTGCTCCAACCATTTATTATAGGTGCTGGTGACTGACTGAGTGTGTTGGGATGGAATGATGCCCCCCCTCCCCCAACACATCTAGTTTAAAGCCTCCTTGACCAGTCTGGCAAGCCTCCTACCAAAACTGCTCTTTCCCTTCTTTATCATCAGACCAGCTCCACCAGCCCCCACTAGGCCTGGCCTACAAACTTGGGTCCCATGTTCAAGACACCCAAACCCCTGACTATGACACCACCCTTTTAACCATTTATTAACCTGGCCAATCCTCCTAGTTTTTTTAGGTCCTCCCCTGCATCCTGGAGAATTGATGAAAAGACTATCTGAGCTCCAGAGACCCTAACCACCTCCCCCAGGGCTCTGTAGTCCTTCTTTATGTTCCCCAGGCTACTACTATCTATATTCCTAGCACCCACATGTATCACCAGGAGTGGGTAATAGTCCGTGGGACTTACTAGAGTAGGCAGCCTCTCTGCCACATCCCTGATGTGTGCCCCTGGTAGGCAGCACACCTCCCTTGAGACAGGGTCTGGTCGGCAGACGAGTGCTTCTGTCCCTTTCAGTGTAGAGCCCTACTACTACGACCCGCTGCTTTTTCCTAGCAGCACCAGTAGAGATCTTCTTTAGCAGTGCATCAGCCGGCTGTTTCTGGCTCGAGTGTGTTTCCTCATTAGCCCCCTGCAGGACAGCAAAGCAATTCTGCATGGGGACAGGGGATTTAGGGGAAGTCCCTTGCTTTTGGTTGTCCTTTTCCTTCTTTTTGGTTTTTTTTTGTTTTTTTTTTTTTTTTTTTTTTTTTTTGTCACTAATTCCCAGCTTCCCAGGTTAACGCCGTCCTTCTTTCCTTCATGAGGTAGAGGTGAAGCTCGAGGCCCCTGCACAGTTTGGGCGTGGAGCAAACATTCCTGCTTCCTCTCAGCTTCCCTGACATCTCTCAGTCTATTAACAGCGTCCTTCAGCTCAGTCCCTGCTGCAGGAGGACCTCCACCAGGGCACACAGAGCGCAGCCCTGCCCACTGCGCACCCTCCCCTCCCCAGACCAGTGCAGGCACTCTCGACACCCCGAGCTCTGCACTGCAGCCTCCCCTCTCATCGGCTCTGTCTGCGTGCCTACGCTGGCCGCCGCCGGGGCAGCCAGAGCAGAGCTCCCGGACCGGGCCCTGCTCATACAACGAGTGCTCACCATCCCGCTCGCCTGCCCGCGCAAACTGCTTCGCCGCGCTCCCCGGGCAGGTTTTTAACCAATCAGGGCTGGTGCCGCTGCTTCAGGCTCCGCCCCCTGTGAGTCAGCTGCTCGCTCTCGTCACTGAGCTGCCGGCTCCTGGGCAGGTCCTGTCGAGGACTTGAGGCTCCCTCGGTGGGAGGCTCTTGTCGCTCTGAGTTGAGGCTCCTGGACGCTGATCTCCCCCCTGCTCCGGTGTTGAAGGAGTCCTCTCTCGAGCTACTCACCTCAGCAAGGTTTGCTGTGGAAGGTTTGCTTATCTTACTCTCTGAATGTGTGCATTCCATCTTATCTCTGTGCCGAATGTTTTGTGATTTGTAAACAAGTGGAGGAAAGTATTTATGAAGAGTTTTCATTAATCTTAAGTAGTAAGGTATGGTCCTCAAGGCTGATTAGGTTATGTAACTCGTATCTTTAAAAGGCACCACAGCTGTATAAGAAAAGACAGCCCTATAACAGGATCCTATCTTAAGATTCAAGTGAAAAATACCTAAAGCATTTTATGTCTTTTGAAAATCCAGTCCTGCATATAAATTTTTTCTGCTCAAGACTTTTTCAGGGAAAAGGTACTGGGGGGC